ATGCACACGAGGACCGCATGCAACGCATGCACACAGGAATTGTCTCTTGGCTTCCCTTCCTGGTACCCATGATCTGCCTTCTTACTATAAAAAGAAATCTAATCCTAGGGCATCGTTCTGAATCCCAGGATCCCTGTCCTTCTTTCCGGGATCAGAGAAGGCACTTCCTCGGGGCCTTCGCATGTTTTGTGTGTTTTTCCCTGTCCTAGTTATGCCGTTTGTAGCAGTTGTTTGTGGTCGTGTGCCACCCTCTCCTCCCACACTACATCACAGGCTTCTAGTGGTCGGAATCTTTTCATTAATTTGTCTCTAGCCCCCACCTCTACAGAAAGGGAGACTCAAAAAAATTCAGTTACAGCTTATGTTTGCCTGGGGTAGGAAGTGCTTACCTGAAGGTAAGAGTTTCAGACACTACACAGAGGAACAGCTGGGGGATTCCATTTGGTGTGAAGTCAATTCTGACTCCACCCACCAGCCTTACATAGCTGTAGCTTTGCCAAAGCAGGTTGCCAGGCCTTTCTTCCAAGGTTCCTCTGGGTGGGTTTGATCTGCTAATTTTTCCATCTGTAGGAACGTACTTAAAAGTTCCTATACCCCACAGCCCTGTAATTCATGCTAAGGCCTGCCGCCTACATCCTGTTAATCCCAGCTCTCAGTCAGGAGACTGAGATTGTTAATAGCTTCATTTTTCTTGGCTTCACATTAGACACTTTTGGTACTAGCAGCCAGGAAATGAAAAGACAAATTGTTTTGGGAAAGCCTCCTGTCAGGGACTTCTCCAGGGTACTGAAAAGCAACGATGTCAGTCTGGAGACTAAGGTGTGCCTGATCCAGGCCATACTCTTCACAATTACTTGCTATACATCAGAAAGCTGGGCAATGACTAAGGATGATAGAAGGAGAATTGATACCTTTGAGCTGCAGTGCTAGAGAAGAGTACTGAATATACCATGTACTGCTAAGAGAACAAACAGCTTCAAACCTAGAGAGGGTGAAACCAAGCTACTCCTTGGAGGCAAGGATTCTGAAATTTTGTCTGACATACTTTGGGCATATTGCAAGGAGGAGCCAGTCCTTAGGGAGGGACATCATGCTTGGGGGATAGAGGGACAGTGTAAAAGAGGAAGACCCTGGATGAGATGGATTGACTCAGTGACTGGGGTAATGGGGATAAGTGTGTCAGAGACAATAAGGTTGGTTCAGGACAGAGCAGGGTACAGAGATTTTGCTACTCAATGGAACATAACAACAGCAACAATTGTGAGCCATCAGCTTTCTCTTGGGATTGAAATTTCTTTCTGCCTCACAATCAGGAGCCCAAAGGTAGGGGTCCTTATAACCTGGCACTAAACCCGAACTCACTGCTGTCAAGTTGATTCTGACCTATAGTTACCTTCCATTGGGCTTCTGACATTGTAAATCTTTACACAGGAGGAGGCTTTCCAGCTTTCTCCCACAGAGCAGAGCATGGATTCAAACTGCTGACCTCTCACTAACACTACACTAACTTCCACCACCTAAACTCCTTACCCTGGCACTAACAGACATGATTTCCTAAAGAAAGAAGCAGATGCCAACCTTCTTCCTTCTGGAGAGCCTACCGGATGTCAGGCACTGTATTCACCTTCCAAGCTTAAAGTCATCCCAAATTTAAAAAAAATAGGGCGCTCTGGTGGCCTCGTGGTAAGAAGCTGCAAAGCAATCTCAAAGGCACACAGTTCAATACACCAGCAGCTCCATAGGAGAAGGATGGGACATCTCCTCTCACGAGATTTACTGCCTCTGAAAAACCACTGGAGCGTCAGCTATAGGTTAGTTCCCACTCAACAGTACACAACAACAACAACAACAACCTAAAAATAGGCATCTTTATTAGAAGCTAGTTTATAAATAGGGGGGGAAGAAGGCTCAGAATTGTTATATAATTCTAACATTGTTGAAACTGAGATGTAGACCTGGGTCTTCCCCCCAGAGTCCCTGGGTAGTGCAAATGGTTAGTGTACTCAGCTGAAAGGTCAGAAGTTCAAGTTCATCCAGGGGTGCCTTGGAAGAAAGCCCTAACAATATTTTTCAAAAAAATGAGCTTCTGGGACCTACTCTATCATGGGTCATTATGAGCTGCTGGGAACCCTATAGGGCATATTCTACTCTACCACATGGATCATTACGAGCAGGATTTGTTTTAACCTCTGACTGCATAATCCCCTCTGACACCCGCCTCCCCCAGATGACCCTTGGGTTTGCACATTTCTTTCTGAGGCTGGGGTTCCTGACTGTCTCTCAAGCTAGTGCTGCACCCTCACCTTCAGCTCTAAACCACCGAGGACACCTCAGCTTCACACCTTTTACATTTCGCCACTACACTCCTGAAAAGAAAAAGATCCGCTGTGGAATAAGGAAGGAGTGAAAGGAACACTCGTCAGTTCTTCCACCCCAACTAGCCTATGAGCTGGGAGGGAATGAAGGGCGCAATCTAAGTTCTCTACTCTGGCCAGTTCCTCTCAGTGCAAAAACTCTCCTGCGCCCTCTGGTGGTCGTCAACACCGACGTGTTCTCCCAGGAATATCGAGCTTGCCAACAATTTCATCTTGCTTGAGTTCAATAAACATACCAGCAGTCAGGAAATCTGGAGGCATATAGTACTGGGAAAGTCTACTATCAGGAACTTCTTCAAATTCCTGAAGAGCAATGATGTCAATCTAAAGACTAAGGTGCTTCTGATTCAAGCTATAATCTTTCCAATCATCTGCTGTGTATCTGAGAACTGGACAATTGAATAATGATGATAGAAGAATTGAGGCTGTTGAGTAGTGTTGGAGAAGAATATCCCATGGTCTGACAAAAGAACAAGGAAATATGTCTCAGAGAAAGCGCAGTCAGAGTGTTCTTCAGGGGCAAGGATGATGCACTTCTTACATACTTTGGGCATGTTTCTAGGAAAGGCTGTTCCTTGGAAAGGGACATCATGCTTAGAAAGGTGGAGGGTCAGTAAAAGGGAGGAAGACTCTCAATGAGGTGGACTGACACAGTTACTGCAGCAATGAGATGAAGTGTGTCAAAGATGATGAGGATGGCACAGTATAGGGCAGGGTTCAGATCTGTTGTTCAAAGGGTTGCTTATTCGACAGCATTGCATAACAACAACATGGTGTCTAGACTGTAGGGAGTTGTGCTGCTAACTGAAACCCCTGTCATTCAACTGACTCAATCCCACAATCTCCTCCCAGGTGATTCAGCGGACATCTGCTGAGGGACAGCAATACGTTGAGCAGAATTGGGACAGCTCATCATGGACGGAGAATGGGGTGCTAACTAATCTGCTAGGAACCATTCAGTAAATGCTAGAGCTGGGGCTGGAAATCAGACCTCCTGATGCCCCACTGCTGCACATAACAACATCTCTGTGCTGGTTGCCCAGCAGTTGTACTGTTAGAATTATTATAGGGTTTAGTGATAAAGAATTGTGCTGCCAAAACTTAGTTCAAATCCACCAGCTGCTCTGTGAGAGAATGATGGGCAATTTACTGCCTCTGAAAATTCTCTGGAGGTTCAGCTATGGGTTGGTTCCAACTTGATGATACACAACAGCAATGCTACAAATTCAGTACTTCTATGAAAGGTGCCCCAATACACTATATTTTTATAAATAAAAAAAAGTTTATTTTATGTTGGTTTGTTTACAAAGTTTGTATACTTTGTGTTTTACACTATCCTTTATTCACATTGTGTTTCATACAATCATTCCCATTCAGTATATTTTATACAATTAGTCTTCATTGAACTATGCCCACCATTAATTTCTCTGTCTTTCCAGATCTTTCCCATTTCCTTTACTCACCCCTCCACCCCAGTACAATATTATATGTTACATTCCACCTAGCAATGTAAAAGCTCATGCTGGGACACACTACAGTGTAATTACAGGAACTCTCTCCCTCATTTCACCTTTCAATGGGGGGCAGCCTCTTCTTCTCAACCTGGAGCCCCTGGGAGGGAGGTTTTTGAAAGAAATCCCACCACCTCACTTGCAGAAATGCCTAGAGGTGCAAGGAGATAGGGCCTTTAGGGCTACTTAATGTGGGAGAGGTGACAAGAGGGAGGGGCTGACAGGAAACTGCAGAGGCCTCCCAGCCACCAGCTTCTCTCTCTCCCCCCCCCTCCCTCCCTAGCTACCTATCCTTGAATATAAGAAACAACAGTAGGAGGTGCGCTATCAGGAAAGAATAAGACTGTAGCCTGGATAGAGGATGGATGTGGGTGGATATTGCTCACCTTTCAAGGAAGGTGCAGGTTGGAAATTTGAGGCAGGTGGACTCCACAGCACAGGGATTAGACAAGACTCAGAACAACGCGGAGGCCCTGGCATTGACAGGCAGCCTGGAATAGATCCTGCAGCTCGCTTTCACCCTTCCGAGCTTTATTACGTCTAGGTCCTGACAGTCGGGTGCTGCTGACCCCCAAAGTAGTGACTCTCGCTCTACAGCAAAGATGTACCGGGGGGGGGGCGGGGGAGGCTGCTGGCCGCTGCAGGACTCCATCAAGGAGTCGCAGGAATGAAAGGCTGGGGATGGGATGGCATCTGGGAGGCCACGGGGTTACGATATTGCAATTCAGGCCGTGGAGCCCCATCAGATGCCCTGACCCGCAGCTCAGAATGGTCCCAGGGAGGGCTTTGCCAACTTGCCGAAAAAGGGAGAGGTGGCCGGCCCCGTGGCTCAGAGAAAGACAAAATGGGACCTTAGTGTGAATGTGGGGGAAAGCAGAGAAGAGTGAGTCCCAACTCCACTCCACACCCCCTTCCTGCCTATAAATAACCCCAGTGTCACTTCAAAGGGGACCGGGAGCTCGGGAGAGGGGCTCTGGGGGCCGGCGGGCTGGGGCCCAGGGGCTCGCACACCACGCCCCCCACCCAGAGCGAGTTTGCATAAATAAACAAATCGCGGCCGCCAGCCCCGCAGGAGGTGGGAGGGGAGGAGGAAGGCGGGAGAGATTAGTTTGGGAAGTAGCGCGGATTGCTCATCCGATCCGTGCAGCCACGGCCGCTGTGTCAAGTTACAGAGGCGCCGGAATCGGCCCCAGCGCTCCACCTCTGCCCAGGGGGCCCTCCATGTGCGCCCCTGTGCCCCAGGACTGACACTGGCTCGCCGGCAAGACGCGAGTCACCGGGAAGGACCTACAGCGCGGAACCAACTCGAGGACGTTGCTGGTACCAGAAGGAAAAGAGGAGGCAGAGTGGAGAGCCTGCTAGATCCCCCAATATTTCCTGGATTTGGAACGTTCTTCGAAATAACTTTTCTCACTTTGGTGCCCCCCTGTTACGGCTGGGGTGTGTTTTCGTCTTTTGCGCCCCTGCTGCTGACTTCTGCGTCCGCCCGGCCCGGAGCAAAGGAAAGGGACGTTTTCCAAAGCCACAACCCTTTCCCCCTGCCGCGCAATCAGGGTCGCGCCTTTAGGCAGCGGCTGGCGCTTTTATTTATTCTATTTATTTATTTATTGGTTCTCGAGACTTGAGGAGATGGTGGCCGAGCGCGTCCGCAAAGCGGCAGCCGCCGTTGCCCGCGCCCCCGGGGAGCTAGGCGCGCCCGGCACGGTGGCGCTGACGGTGGCGCCGGGCGAGCGCTGCGCGCGCCTGCCGAGCGCGGGGTCGTGCGGGCTTCTGGCAGTGGCCCTGTGCTCACTGGCGCTCAGCCTGCTAGCCCACGTTCGGACGGCGGAGCTGCAGGCCCGGGTGCTGCGCCTGGAAGCCAAGAGCGGGGAGCAGCAAACGGAGACGGCTATTTTGGGAAGAGTCAACCAACTGCTGGACGAGGTCTGTGCTCTTTGTTGCTGGCTTGTGTCCCTCCCCACGGCGCCCCCTCGCGCAGCCTCTAAAGTCTTGGCCAGAGGGTGCCCATGGGCGCTCGCTCTACACGCTGTCCGGTGCGAGGCGGGCTCGCTCCAGCTGTCTGTCGTAAGGCTGAAGGGCAGAGACAAACGTGACCCCGCTCGGGACCCTGTGGAAGCGCAGGCGGTGAGGACCCGGGCAGGCGCCCTGGTGTCCCGCTCTGGAAGCGCCCTGGGCGCGCGAGGCAGGTGGAGGGAGGCCGGGCGCGCAGAGGCGGGCCAGAGGCTCTTCTCACTCCCCCGCGGCCCTACGCCCACGCGGCGGGACTTGTGCCCCTTGGCCCCGCCTGAGATTTACTGGACCCCCGAGGTCCTCCTTCTTCACCTTTGGGAGTCTGCGCTGCCTTACTTTAAAAGCCATTTTCTGCAGGGAGGAGGATGTGAAGGAGTGGTGTCCTGATGCCTGCTCTTGCACCCTGCCGCTCGGGCCCAGCTGTGTGTCTCCCCTTTACTGACCACATGAGACGCGTCTTATTCTAGAGTCCCTGGACTCCTCTCCAACATGGGGAAAAGGATGCTGAGTTTTCTCTCGTTAATCAAAGTGTTCTTGATTAATAGCCACTGTCTTAAGTTTCAGGAGCCTAGTATCACATTGATTAAAATGCTCTGACTACTGACTTTTAATACTTGATTTGATTTACCCTGGGAGAAAAAAAAATGTTAGCAATCTGCTTCCGTAGTAATCTACTGCTTTGGGAAGCCGCAAGACAGTTCTGCTGTGTCTATGAAGTTGCTATGAGTCAAGATTGGCTTCATGATAATGTGTTGGCTTCTTGTTAGTTTTGTTTGTTTGTTAGTTATTCCTTAAGCCTCTGGAAGTACCCAGAGTGTCACAATCTCTGGGCACATAGACAATACCCTCCCCTGGAAGGAGGACCATGTAGTCTTGTTGATGACACCAGAGGGAAAGCTGGTCAGTGCAAGGGAGAGGCCTGGGCATTCATGGGAATCTGGGTCGCACCTGGGACCCAGGCTCAGGGCAAGGAGTGGAGAGAGGAAAGGGCTGGCAGTCCAAGAAGTTTTGCAACAAGCCCGCCCTGGAAGGTGTGCATGGGAGAAATGGGTGAGGAAGTTCTCTTACTTAGAGGAAGGTGGTGTGAGGCAATGAAAAACAGAGTGATGAAGATTAGCAGGTCCAGGAGTTGTGATCCCAAAACACAGGCAAGTGGTTAGAATCCCTTTTGATTTATGTTGTTATTGTTATTGTTATGTGCCATCGAGTCAGCTACGACTCATAGTGACCCTATGCACAATAGCTCTGAACCCTGCTCTATCCTGAGCCAATCACACTATCTCTGACGCACCAACCCTTATTACCCCAATTATTGTGTCAATCCATCTCATGCAGGCTCTTTCTTTCCTGTACTGTCCCTCGACCCTTCCAAGCATAATGTCCTTCTCCAGAGATTGGTCTCTCCTGGCTATATGCCCAAAGTATATGAGACAGAGTCTCAGAATCCTTGCCTCCAAGGAGCAGCTTGGTTTCACCTTCTCTAGGACAGATCTGTTACTTCTCTTGGCGGTCCATTTTATGTTCAATACTCTCTTCCAGCACCACAACTCAAAGGCAATTCTTCTTCTGTCATCCTTGGTTATTGTCCAGCTTTCTCATGCATAGCAAGTAACTATGAAGATCATGGCCTGGATCAGGCACACCTTAGTCTCTAGGCCAAAATCTTTGCTCTTCAGCACTCTGGAGAGGTGTCTGACAGCAGATTTTCCTAATGCCTTTTGATTTCCTGACTACTGATGCCAAGAGTGTTAATTGTGGAACCAAACAAGATGAACTGAGTCTCTTAACCTATCATGAAGCTGCAATTGGCCCAGTGGTGAGAATCTTAATTTTCTTGATGTTGAGCTCCAGTATAGCCTCTGAAAACCCACTGGAAAGTCAGCTATGCGTCAATTCTAACTAGACTGCAGTGAGTTGAGCTGTGTAATTGGAGACAAATCTCCTAACCCCTCTGAGCTTGCAAAACATGATGATGGGAAGCATCAGATCCCAGCCTGTAGGTGTGGATAGGTGCTATGGCCTTTCTGGTAGCACAGTGAGTTTTCTCAAGTGCTTCTGCCATGCCCCTCTTCTACCTGAACATGCCAAGTTTGTGAGGGTGTGGAGATCACTGCTAGATCGATGTGAGAGCAGCCAGGAACTCTTGAAGGGTTTTGAAGATGACATGTCTCTAGAAAGAATTGTTTTAGGATGAATTAGTTACTCATTGCTGTAGAGTTGGAACCAGTGGGTTTCCGAAGCTATAAATTGCGCAAGAGGAAATTACCTGTTTTCCTCCTGTGGATTCGAACCCCCAGAGAGTTGCTGCCTATGAGTTAGCAGCACGGTTACCAGAGTCGTTTAAGACAGAATAAGGAGGCCGAACAGCAGATTGTCCTTGACTGAGGGTAGACTGAGAGTGGTGAATGTGTTGGTGGCACTTGGAGTCAGTAAGAGAACGAGAACAGATAGGTGTCCCCTGGGAGAGACGCTCCAGGACAACATTGTCCCATAAGGTGAAACATGACTGTGTTTACATGACATCTATACCTAGACCAAGCAGTAGTAGTCTGAACATGCAGCTGAACACCACATGGTTTTAAATTAAGATGTGCATCCAAGCTGTATCATTCCTCCAGACCGATCCAATCTGTATGCCGAGCAAATTGTTCAAGAAGCTGAACTTTATGAATATGGTGTCAGGATTAGAGGAAGACTTATCAACAATCTACTTAATGCAAATGATTCAATCTTGCTTGCTGAAAGTGAGAAGGACTTGAAACACTTGTTGCAGAAGATCAAAGGCTACAGTCTGTGATATGGATTATATCTCAACATCAAGAAAACAAATATCCTCGCCAATAGGCAACATCTTACTTAATACATGGAGAAAATATTGAAATTGTTAATGATTTCATCTTACTTAGATCCACAATCAACACCATCAGTACCCGCAGCTGAGAAATCAAAAGGCCTATTGTACTGGGAAAGTCTGCTATCAAAGATCTCTCCAAGTATTGAAGAGAAAGATGTCAGCTTAAAGACTAGGGTGTGCTCGATTCAAGCTGTGGTCTTTTCAGTCACCTGCTATGTATCTGAAAGCCGGACAATATATAAGAATGATAGAAGAAAGATCGATGCCTTTGAGTTGCGGTGTTGGGGAAGACTGCTGAGTGTCCCATGGACGGCTAAAAAGAACAAACACATATGTCTTGGAAACTGTACTGTCAGAGTGGGTCTTGGAAGCAAGGATGGTAAAGCTTCATCTCACATACTTTAGACATGTTGTTAGAAGAGGCTATTCCCTGGAAAAGGACATCCTTCTTGGAAAGGTGGAGGGATCAGTGAAAGGCAGGGTATCCACATTGAGGTGGATTGACACAGTAACTGCAACAATGGGATCAAGTGTTTCAGAGATGATGAGGATGGCACAGGATAGGACAAGGTTCAGATCTGTTGTTCATCAGGTCACTGTGAGTCAAGATGGCACCTAACAGCAACTGTCATGTGTGACTATATCTTTAAGTTAATGAACTGTTAATAATTAACATCAATTAAATTGAAAATTCAACCCTACTGGACATATTTCTCATGCTCAGTAGCCACTTGTAGCTAGTGGCTACTATGTTGGACAATAGAGATGGAGAACACAGACATCATTATGGAAAGCTCCCTGGGCAGCATTAGCAGCCTCCGGGTCTACACAGATGACTCCTGGAACCCTGGCCCACCTGGGCCTTTTCTTTCCTGGGTGTGCCCTCCCCAGTCTGAGCAAAAGGCAAAGGGGAGCACATCGGAAAGGCAAAGAAAGGAGGCCCAGGGCAGGTGGGAAATCCCTCAGGGAGAAGAGACAAAGCAAAGGAGGGAGCAGGAAATTGTTGTTATAAATTAGTTTGCTGAAATGCATGTGTGTGGGCCTCGCCCTCAAGGGGCAGGCAAGCATGGGTGCTTAGGGGTCCAACTATGTGAACTTGACACAGCAACACCACACCCTGAGCCTGAGCCTCCTGGCCTGGTAAATCCTGCCACCTCTCCCCTCCGAGGGTTCCCTTGAGACCTCAGCAGATGGTGGATGGGAATGTACTCTTTAGAAGTGTCTCAACCCATGGCCATGCTCAGGACCAAGCCAGTGCCATGGAGGGCTGCTGGGGCCTGAGCCAGGCAGTGCTTCTTGGAGTGGGTGGACCTGAGCTAGTCCCTAAAGGATGGAAGACAGGGACTGGGTGGGACAGACCTGGTGAGGCCCATATCCACAGTCCATATTCCTGGAGGCTGGAATGCTAGGTACTTGAAGCTCCTTGTCCCAATGGAAGGATCAGGGGATGATGGAGCTAACAGGACAGGACAGGTTGAGGTGACCACTGGGAGAGGAGGCCTGGGAGGAGAGCTGGGCAGAGATGAGCAGAAGGAAGGCCCATCTTGGAACCAAGCCACTGGTCAGGGCCCGGGGGGCTCCATGGGAATCTGAAGTGTGGTTTCTAGTCCTCAGACCCCAGCTCTTCCCCCATCCAAGTCTCTCCCTGTGGTCTACAGCCCTTAACGAGCACTTTGGCTGCTCCTTATTTGGGTTCCTAGCTTTGGAGAAATAAACTGGAATGTCCCAACTGGTGGAAATCACATGTCACCTCAGCCCCAGGGTGGATGTAAAATGAAAAAGAAGAGGGTGGAATTTAAAATAGTGGGGTCCATCCTATGGGTCCAAACTGGAGCAGCGGTGGGCACCCACAGGCGCCTGGAAGATGAATTTTAAGGAATGCCAAGGATATTCCAAACAAACAAACAAAATAAAACAATTCAAGTTGATTTCACCTCATAGTGAGTCCTGGTATGCAGTGTCAGCATTCAGAGGGATTTTAATGGCTGGCAAGCAGATTACCAGGAATTTCTTTTGAAGTGCCTCCCAGGGGTTCAAACTACTAACCTTTTAAATAGTA